CTTATTTGTTTGTCTCCCTTGATTGGAGCGTAAGATCCCAGAAGCCAGGAGCTTTTCTGTCATCCTATTGTCTGTATTTTCAAGGCTTAGAACAAAGGCTGGCACACGACAGACACTCAATATTTGTTGACTGAAGGAAGGAACAAATACAAAGGATGACGAAACATTAGTAAATGAGTAAGCCAAGTATGAAAATAGTTGTCTCTGCCAAGAGACGTAGGACATACTGGGAGAGACCTCTTTGTGGTCAGTGCCTACTGCCAGTCGGGGCTCAAGACAAAGTCTGCATCCACTGGGCCCCTGAAGTGTTGGCAGGTACCATCTTCATCAGCAGTGGGTACCACTTGGGGCAGAAGAGCCTGAATGCCCAGTCCATGAGACTGCAAGCATCTGTGTTCCCAGAGGATGATGGTTTTGCGTAGATGTACCCTCTGCCCAGCCTGGGCTCTCTCTCTCTGGCAGCCTTGGGAGGAGCTTTCTGTGAGAGGACATGGCTGCTTGTGAAGCTTGTTTGGTTTTCCATTCATTCAACTAAATATTTTGGTGAGCCTGCCTTGTGCAGGGCACGTGTGAGCAGTTGGGAGTGTAAGAGTGAAAAAGACGCGTGAGCTCCCCGCTTTCGGGGAGCTCAGATTCAGGGGGAGCTGCAGGAGTAACCAGGAGGGGCACGTAGCCAGCATGGAGCAGGATCAGTTCTCAAAGGAAATGACATCACCTTGGGTGAGACCCAAAGGCCAAGTAGGGACTGGACAGCACAGGCGTGCAGTGAAGGTGGGACGAGCATTCTGGAGGAGAGGGAAGAAGTGTGAGGAGAGGTGTGGGAGGAGAGAGAACGTGGCGTGAGGGAGACGGAATGTGCATACGGCTGGGGCTTGAGCACCGAGTCGGGAGACGGGCGAGAAGGGCTACCCCAGTGGAGAAAGCTGCTCCCAAATACTTGATTTAGAGCACCTGAGCCCCCTTGGCATCGTCCTCTGTGGAGCTGCCCTGGCCAGGTCCCCCAAGCCTCCCTTGGTGCCTTGTGGGGCAGGCTGAACGCCACTAGCAAAGCCTCCCTGAAAGTGAGTGGGAGTCTGTGGCTGGCCGCAGGAGCTCCGAAGCTCTGAGCTTGCGGCGTACCTCTCGCCAAGCGGTGGCATCCTGGGATCTGTCAGAGTCTGCGGGGGGTAACTCTTCTCAAGTTGCCAGAAAACTGGCAAACCATCAAGTGGCCTGTTGGTTAACACAGCGCTGTTTCCTCCGCCAGGGGTGAGGTTCTTTTGAGGTTTTGACAGCACCAGCTGAGTGGGTTTTTTTCTCTTCTTTTCTTCTGTTCCTCTTCCTCCTGCTCCTCTACTTTCTCCTTTTTTTTCCTAGTGCAAGAGTCTACTTCGGTACCACTGCCTGCATTCCTAGTGGCTGGAGGGAGCCTGGCCTTCGGAACGCTCCTCTGCGTTGCTCTCGTCCTCCGGTGAGATGGGTCCGAGGGTGGCCCTGTGGTCCTCCTGTTTCTCATCTAGCTTTGTCTCTGCTGGGATGGTGGGACGGCATTGGGGAGCTAGGAGTGGATTCAAAATACATTTTAGAGGTAGGATTGACAAGATTTGAAGACAGCTTAGATGAGAAGAGTGGAGGAGAGAGGGAAGAGTCAAGTCTGACCTGCAAGTTTCTGGCTTAAGCCATCGGGCAGAGGGTGAGTGTCATCCAGTAAGATGAGAAACCCTGGAGGAGGAACAACTGAGTGCAAAGTGACGATTACATGTTGGTACTACTGGGGAAACCCCAAGCTGGGGACACAATGCAGATCGTTGTCAGCATGCAGGTGGTAGCTGGGGCCCTGGGAGAGGATGGGGATAAGGCTGTCCACAGAACCTGTGGAATTCCAGGGTCCCAACGTTGAAAGTTGTGTAGAGGAGGAGCTGGAAAGGGGCTGGGAGGGAGGAGCTGAGAAGGAGGAGAAGTGCAGGAAAACCCAGTTGTGAAAACCAGAGGGAGAAAGTGCACGTTAGACACTGAAGAAACACCTTGGGCCCTGGGACTGCAACATGAAAGCTACCCTTCCTCTCCTCCAAGAAACACATCCTAAAATGACTCAAGTGTGAGACGCACCACATCAGAGACATGTGCACAGGTAACTCGGAGGTGCCTGGCCAGACCTCTTTGTGAATATTCCATGTCTCAAAACCAGCAGACCTAGCGGGTCACCTTTAACTGCTTTGTCCTGGTGCCCTCCCCCTGTCACGGGGCGGAACCACCACAGGTGAGGGCTCAGTTGGTGTCCTGGTCACAGTAGCACCATGCCTATTTCATCCCAGTCTCTCTCTGTTTGGCCATTTGTTTTGTCATTCGTCCCCAAGTTGGCAGAGGAGTCGCCGAACAGTGCTCCCAGTGAATGGACAACAAAGAAAACGTCCAATGTTCACGATTTTACTGCGGGAACTGGCAATTTTGCATACGCTAAAGCCCAAAAAACAATCAGGCTGGGCCCTGACTTTGGATGGTGGTTAATTACAATGATAATACAAGAAGAGGAGAACCGTCACTCTGTTCTTCCTGTCTCTTCCCTTGTATGTAACTTTCAGGGACTCCAGCTGGTGATTGTGAGAGGTGGTCTTTGAGGGCGTTTAGGAAGGAGGGGTAAGACCTTGGCAGCGAGCTTTCTACACGTTAGCTCATTGGAGTCTCACAGTGACCCTGAAATAGCTCAACTACCACGTGGTCTGGGCTGGAGGATCATTCAGATGACAACTTAAATTGTGTTCAGGGTTGTTTTTGCTTTGATGTTCCAATGAAGTAGTGAGCAAGCTGTCCAAAGGGTGTGCAGAAGATAAGGTTCTGAACAAGTGGAAGTAACTCCTTGGAAGAGCTGAGAACTCACTGTCTTCCATCCCTCTGGGCCAGAGAGGGGCCATGCCAGCTTTCAGAGGTCTTCCTACTGCCTTCTTAGGGATTCCTTGCCTCACCTCAGGCACATACTTCTGTGTTTCTAGATCATTAGGGCTTCAAAAGACCTTTCTCATAACCCACCACAGACACTATAGAGTAAATCTCATGATTTCCACTTGACAGATGAGGAACTAAAGCTGAAAGAGATGGTGTGATTACAGCTAGTGAGGGTAAGGCCAAGATCCAAACCCAAATCTCATGCTTTTTGGGTAGCATCTTAGGGGTCACTTAGTCAAACACTTCAATTTTGCAAATGAGGAAATAGCCCTAAGAGGTAAGCAGACTTGCCCAAGGACACAACTTGTTAATAGCAGAGACAGGACTAGAACTCATGTGCTGAGAGTCCCTGCCCACCATGCTAGCCTGCTGTCACCTAAGAAGTGGGCCCAGTTGGTCCTATCAGTCCACTGTTGGCCAGTAGCCCCATTAACAAGTGGCGCCATCTTGGTGTGCTGTTAACCACTAAGAGAGGGACGTTAGGCTGGGAACCGGCCACAGCATTCATCACAGAGCTAGCCTGCTAATGTGCTGTTGGTGCTTGTACAATGGCTGGTTGCTACACAACCAGAGTCCCCAAAGGCACTGTGCCCTGTGCAGAGAGAACATAACAGTAATTTATTTCCTAGCCTGATGAATTTCCATTTTCTCCAGAATAAGGCAAATTTATTTGGAAAGAAGCCAGTTATTTCAAGCAATGAACAAAACCTCTACTCCCAAAGTCCCCTATGTCAAGAAAAGAGTATAAATGTGGAGATGCAGTGGGAGCCTGGGGTGCCAGAATGGCTGGGCCACTGGGAACACTGGGTGGCCGGATGACACAGATAGAATGTGAGAGACGGTGGGAGTACAGCGCGCCAGTCTTTGACATCACATTTTTATTTTTAGTACATTTATTTTGTGTCTCAAGCAAAGCACAGTGTTTTCCTAAATATTTTTCCAGCAATATCAGTAGTAATTTTTAAAACTTTAAATGTGCTATTGAAAAAGCTGTACCATCTTCTTACGTGGATATTATAACTTATAGGGGCCAGTTCTCCCCACCCAACTCCCTGTGCCCTCCTGCTTCTGGCACTGGGAAAATAGGATTCTCATAGCAGAGAATTCCTTTCCTGCACATTTATCTGGAATGGCTACCACCATTAGGTGAGAACTTCCTATGTGTATGTCTGTGATTCAAATCATTTTGTATTGAATTTATTGTCTCATTTTAGTATTTTAAAATCATGCTCTCCCACCTCCATGGTTAAGGGTTGTCATGAGTGGCTTTTTATTTTTTAATTCTTTCAGCTGTAGAACCTTATCTTTTTAAAAAACTTTTTAAAAAATTTTAAAAAAATTTTAATGAAGGTACTGGGGATTGAACCTAGGCCCTCATGCAAGCCAAGCATGTGCTCTACCAGAGCTATTTCCCTCCCACCCAGAACCTTACCTTATCTTTAAACAAAACATTATGAAGCCCAAGTATGTAAAATAGGTGAAAAGTGCAAGTGAAGTCTGACAGCTCAGCAGTTTGTTCCTTCCTCCTGCCCTGCACCCTCCCCAGCCCCCAGCCCCTGCTCAGACCCCTGCCCAGGACAGGGCAATGCCAGGTATGGATGCACCCCAGGCTCCTGGTTTCAAAGGCCCCTTGGAGCTTAGTGATTTGCAGAAAAGGTCTCATTCACTCTTCAAAATATTTCAAAAGAAGGAAGGTTCCTCTTTCTCAGTTACCCATCCAATTGCTTTGAAAAAAACTGAAGACAGAGACTGCTTTCCATATTGGTTAAATAACATCAAAAGATACTTAAAATTTGTTATATATGATATTTTGCTAAATACTGACTAGAAGGGGAAAAATTCACACATGCAAAGACAGCCACTGTTAATTTTTAAAATGTACATGTGATCGAAGTCTAACAGACATATAGAAAAGTGCAGATGTTGTAAGTGTACAGCGACATGAATTTCCAGAGTGAACACATCCATGCCATTGACACCCAGATCAATAACGCTTTCTATTTAGATGAATTTCCTCTGAGTCTTTCTCCTCTGCGTAGTTCTTTGTTTGTTTTTATGTAGCCTTGATTATTCTGTATCCACAACTCTGAATCCTGCCTTTTAAATTTAGCATTAGTTATAACATGAGCACGTCTTCCCATTATTACAAGTGCTTTGTAAACCTCACCTTCATTAACTACAGACTCCTCCATTAGGTGGATATGCCCAAGTTCATTTATCCAGCCTATTACTGGGCATTTGGATTGTAGTTTTGCTTTTATAAACAATAATGTGTTGAACATCTTTATGCATAAAGCTTTTTCCATATCTGTGCCCTTTCCTGAGGCTATATTCCCAAAAATGGAATTCGAGAGTCTGAATATTTTGAAATCCAGAGTGTACTGACTCTGTCCTCAGTTCTCTCATGAGGGAGGAGGATTCTACCCAGGGACCCCGCGCAGCTCCAGTAAGCATCCCTGCTGTGTTCCCTTCCTGTGCAGTGCCTGGATGGCGAGCCCAAGTAACATTCTGCAGATTGTTTATTCCACTTGGACGACAGGCTAAGAGCCAATGGTAGATTTGGAGCCAACTATCAATTATTTATCATAACAAGGACAGGAATAGCCTGTCGATATAAAAAGAAACCCAAGGAAAATCCCCAAACCTTGTTTTTGACATTGGTTTCCCCTCTTCCCTCCCAGCCCTTCCTGGAGTAGCTGACATTTGGTGGAACTGAGGGGGACCACCTTGCTCCCACTTTGGGGTCAGGGGGCAATCAGTTAGGAGGTGACAACGTGGGGAGCAGGATGGGGGAGATGTGCTGCCCCGGCCCGGCTGACGGGCCCCTTCAGGGAGGAGACCTGACTGTACCTTTGAAGATTGTTATCACCATCTCATCTTTCTTTGGGCTGTCAAGTGACTCTTCTCACTTACTGAGCTCTGGGTTTGGGCCCAGAGTGAAGCAGCGTGAACGAAGCTGTGATCAGAGAGATGTCTATCTTCTTCCTGTTTAACATTGACTTTCCTGTCAGATGAGTCACTTGTGCCCAAGTGGTGCCCACGGCTGAGTCTGTGAGAACCTGCCAGCATGGTGGGAGGGGACCCAGAGGTGGAGGGAGAACTGGGGACAGTGGGAATATTGGAGGAAGAGACAGGCTGTAGAGGGAGCTGCACAGCCCTTTCCCTGCTGTTTAGGGCAGTTGCCAATTATCTGCCTCTGGCTAGCCTTAATTTGACCTGGAGGCCCATTTTCCTTCTCTGCTGTAGGAATACTCTCTCTTTTTTTAAGTACATGGATTTGGGACTGATGATGTGTCCCTGTGGGCACCTTTGGGGACAGAACAAACTAAGTTGTCGGTGCTATAAAGGGACACTCAGAGCCTTAGTTTCCCCAGTGGTAAATTGGACCAACAATACATACTTATTCTCTTGGGGTGTATTTTTTGTTGTTGTTGCTTTTGCGGGAGGTTAATTAGGTTTATTTATTTATTTAATGGAGGTACTGTGGATTGAACCCAGGACCTCGCGTGCCGAGCATGCACTCTACCACTGAGCTGTACCCTCCCCACTCTCTTGGGGTGTTTTGAAACCCCTAACTCTTCTGAGGATTGTGTAATTCCTGGTGACAAAAAGCAGTTGACGAGGGGGGAGGGTATAGCTCAGTGGTAGAGCGCATGCTCAGCATGCACAAGGGCCTGGGTTCAATCCCCAGCACCTCCATTAAAATACAGAAAGAAAGAAACCTAATTAACCCCTCCCAACAAAATTTAAAAAATAAAATTGCTTGATTTAAAAAAAAAATGAAGCAGTTGGTGAATAAATAGTGCTCACTCTTTGGAGCTGAAACCCGGCAATGCCAGGCCACCAGGGCAGCCAGCTCTTGGTGTTTTCCTCTGGTTGGTCACAAAGGGAACTCAGCATTTGTATGGTTTGTCTTTGTGTGTCTGTGTGAAGGTTCAAGAAGACGGGGAAGCTGCAGGCTCTGAAAGAAGGCAAGACGAGCATGCACCCGCCGTACTCTCTGGGACAGCTGGTCCCCGAGAGGCCCAAGCCCACCCCTGTGCTCGTCCCCCTCATCTCCCCACCCGTGTCCCCCAGCAGCCTCGGGTCTGACAACACCTCAGGGCACAGCCGACCAGATGCCCGGGGCCCGCAGAGCCCTTACGATGTCAGCAACAGAGACTACTTCTTCCCCAGATAGCCGGCCGGGCGGCGCCGGGCGGGCGGGGGCCGGCCCCGCTGCACCGTGCGGGTGACGAAGCACAAGCCGCCTTAGCAGAAGACGCTCCTCACTGCCGTTCCAGCTCATCTCAGGTGCACGGGGCCCCGGGCTTCACCTTTCCAGAAGGGCCTCCCAGGAGGTTCTACGCCTGGGTGAAAAGGTTTGCTGCGTCTGATCAGAAGGAAGAGGTGGTTGGGCTTTTGAACCACCCCTCCCCAAATGCCCTGCTTACAGGGGTTAGAATGAACTCAGGCCCTCATCAAGAGAAGGGTGGCAAGACTCTACTGGACACTCAGGTGGGCAGAGCCGGGCTGCTGCAGAGGCCTCGGATGCCCCCAAACTCGGGGTGGACAGGCTGCCAGCCGCCCGTACACCTGGACGCATCTTCAGGGGCTGCACCCTCAGGCAGGTGGGACGGATTTCCAGCCAAACACTTCCCTAGGTGCCTCCCCACTGGCCCACCACACAGCTTCATCTGCCAGCTCAAATTCTTGAAACCCAAGTGCCTTCACAGTTCAGCTTTTCTAGGCCTGAGGATGGCTTTTCTTAAACCACCGAGGCTGGGGGAAGGTCTCACCTACCTTTCCTCCCCACATCTGAAGACAAGCTGCTAAGTGGGGTAAACAGTATCTCAGGGTCTGATGGTTTGAAATGAAATTATGATTAGTTCCTCACTAGCCTGTTCCTGAATGTGAATGACTGTCCTGGGCACTTGCTGAATCCAGAAGCAACTGCACTGGCTCGATTTCCCTCTTTGGATCCCAGGACTTCAGGAGAGGAGCCAAGAGGAAGGAGGGAATTGGGGACAGGGCCTCCACGCTTCTCTGCAGCAGCATCGCTGAGGGGGACGGCGGGCTCTGCAAACCAACATTCTCCGTCCTCCCCACCCTGCCCTCCAAGAGGAGAGCTAGCATCAGGGGGGGACGCCAGGGGTGGAATCAAAACCGCCTTACTCCAGCTGTTTATTTTGTTTTCAACTGAGCCTGAGTAACTGGGGAAGATAATATTTATGTGAAAAGACAAAAGAACCTGGCAAGAATGTACTTTAATTTGATTTTTTAAAGAACTGTTGACTATTTTATCTTTAGAGGGTGGAAGAGTCAGTATATAAATAACCTGGGGGAAAAACACCATAACTTTGTTTAGCACAAAACTGAGTCAAGTGAAAAAGGAGGAGAAAAAAAAAGATTTTCCCCTATTAGAGAAAAGGCTGGTTTCATTCTAAATTTTATTTTTGCCTTAAAAAGTGAAGGGAGAAAAAAAAAAAAAGACTACGTCTTTAAGTTAGCGGAAAAGCAGCTGGTTACTACTCCCCTAGGCGGTCGAGAAGGAGTGCCCAACAGTCATGTGCTGGGAAGCCAGCCTCCCACGATTACCAAGCAGGTCAGCTGAAAATCCCCAACCCTGAAAGCCAGGAGCCCTCGGTTATCAGAAGAGGTTCATTAAAAAAAAAAAAAAAAATCCCTAACCTTGGTGCCTTCCTCTTTTTAGTTAGTTCCTTGAATGTGATTCAGTTCAGCTAGTCATGAAGCGCCGACTAAATGTCTAGCCGTGACACTGGGCTAACCAGTTCAGCTCACTTTTCTGTCCAGGCTTTGAAAATTCAGCGATGTTAGTGGTTACCCAAACATGTACCCTCAGGTATCATGGGAGGTCCCAGGATGAAGCTGTGATTAAAATCTGTCATGTAATCACCACCCAAATTTTACCAGACCACAAAACTTTTCTAGCAGTTTCCCCTTTTAGAAAAAACCACCACCAGCGCTAGACAAGTGGCAAAAGGGTGGAAGCGACCACGTTTTATTTGCTGTTTGTCAGGTTCACACTGTTGCAGCGTTGGGCAGACACTGATTTTCATTGCTGGCTTTGTCTGTAAATTTCAGATCCTGTTGCTGTTTTAGCAACTAATCTTAAGTTGACAAAAGGCAGGCGGTTTTATTTTGTTTTCTCTAAAGTTTCCTTGATTGAGAACAGCAAAAATGCTGTTAAAGGGAAATATAAAAAATGAGAATCTGCAAGAAAGAGTGGTTCTGTGCCCACGGTTCTTTACCTCTTGACAGAATTTTACCCATGTGTGATATTAGCAGAGCCAAGCAGAGCCGTGCTAGTGGAAGATGTGAAATCCAGATAGCTCATGATTGCTAAGAGCTAGGCAGCTTTGATCTTCAAATTGTTATTGCTTTCATTATTATTGTAACGGAACTGCTTTTTTTTTCATATTGAAGAGGGCTCTACCCCCCTTTGTTTTTTATAAGCTAGTATAAATGAAGGAAAAATATTTGTCTTCTCTGGGTTGGAGGACTTGCTCAGTGTACACAGGGATACACCCTAAGCTTTCTCTATCCTCGAATTTCTGGTCGTGAATGTGTGTTTCAATCCATGGGTCATCCACCCTCACCTCTGTTTCTGCAGCATACACGCTGCCTTTTATTCTCAACAGTGAGGCTACTTACTTAATGCCTATAGTGATCGTTACACAGCCAGATGGGGAATGTTGGCTCAATTTTTATTAAAGATGATCAACTTATCCTGCTGGGTGGGAAAAGTTGAAAATATGCTAGATCAAGGTCTAAATTAAAGTGATCATTAATTCTCGTAGCATTAATGAAACAAATTTTTTTTCAATGTCAAGGAGGTAGCATTGAATATGTCTGCAAAGACTTTGGTAACTCTGAGAGCTCTCTGCCCTGTTGGAGCCTTGCCCTTGTGGTTTGTTTGCCAGTCTCTGGGCTCCCCCTGAGTCTCTGCCATTTCCCTGCTGTCCCCGGGGGAATGACACACCATTACAAGGTGTGGAATCTGTTGCTGGCACCAGTTGGGAGCCCACCTGGTGGTGAAAAGAGCTCAGGGGGGCTGGCTGGGAGTGGTCATGGTTTGTGGGTCTCCTGCAGAAAGTTCAGGAATGTCTTTCCTGACTGCTTTGGTGCTGAGCTATATCGCTTCATCAATGGCACTTAAGCTTAGCTGGGGAGGAGTCTGACGGTCAGCTCCAGGTAGAGCTGGTGAGAAATTTATCTTCATCTGGAGAAGCAGGGACAATCGGTGGTTCTTTGGAGCATAAGCCTGGCTCCCAGCCTTCCCGTGCAGCCGTTGGCAGTGGGGCTGTTGCTGGAAGGGAGGCCAGCTGGCTCAGGGTCTGTGCCAGACACTCCTGAGTGTCCCCTAAAGGTCCTTCCAGCATCGTGTCCTTGGTGTGGCCTGGCCCCAGTGCCAGCGAGTTTCTATGGCAACCTTAATGATTATTAAGGAATGTTGTCAGTTGTATGAACATATGCTCAAAAGCAGATCTACTTCAGAAAGAAAGGATTGGAACAGCATGTAGCCAGGCTGTTAATTAATAGAGAAACCATATTTGGATGGAGCTCACATATCATTAAATAGAATACCTCAACTTTACTTTTTTTTTTGAGAGAGAAATAATAGTTTTAAGTTTTGTTTTTATTTTTTTAAATCTAATCACCTTAAAGCAAATACCAAAGGCTAATGTTTGTATATGGGGCAAAGGGTCAGTATGATGTTTTTCAATGTTGTTGTTTCTTTTTACTAGCTATTTTGCCTTTAAAGTGAACATTGTAAATCTTTGAAATAAAGAATTTCTAAAAATATGCTTGAGAGGTAATTATGCTTGGGCACCCAGGACATTTAAAGGAAAGACTTGTGTGATTAATGAGGGAAAAGGAGTGAGAAATGATGGGCTTAAAATTAAGAAGGACCATTTTGGGGTGAGCTTCTCCTTAATGCAGGATCAGATTACCTCTGAAAGAGGAATCAGGTAAGTTTGAGAAATAAGTAGCAATTTCTCAGAAGACTTTAATTATGAAAGTATTTCCCCACATGAGCTCTGGGGTTTCTGGAAGGGGTGTGGGTACTTCTGCCATGTTTACATCATTATCAGGTGATGGATGTGGGATGGGGAAGGAAAAGGAAGGGCCATTATTCATCAGAAGACTGTTTACTGGACGGGGGGATGTGTATGGTGTCACAAAGGCAACCCTGATCATCTTGATCATCTGATTTAGGCTGAATCTGCCCGCTATGGAAAAGGGTCTTCAGTAGGAAAAACTTGGGACACAGCCATCCCACATCTCCCAATTAGAGGAAAGTCATCGTTGAGGATGCTCTGGGGATAAGAGTTGCTGTGTAAACAGTTCCTGGTTGGGGAGGAGGAAACTACATGGAAGCCTGGAAATTGTGTAACTCAGACCGAAAGCTGAAGTGTGAGGCCCCGCCACGCAGCCCCTACCCGGGGCCATCAGAGGAAAGCCGCAGGACCGCACCTATAGGGCCCATCGGCTCCTTGAGGACACCACAATCTCTTTTGAAGTTGGTCCCTGTCTTGCAGAAAGCAACACAAGAAACAGATGTCCCCAAGGCGGCTCAGGTGTGGACCTTGCAGAGGGGCACAGGGGTGGGTGTAAGGAGCAGGAAGTGGAAGAGGGTGCCTCATTCATCATGGCGTCACTGTCAGGATGAGATGGTTACGACGCTCTTTCCAGAAGAATTTGGGAGAGCAGATGGTGAATCTTGGAGTGGTTGGCAAGGAACACTCAGTTACTGGAACAGCTACTTAGGAAAGCATTTTCCTCATTGATTGCGGCACAAGGAAACCGAATCATTCTCCCCATCTGTGAGCAGCACAAGCCAGAGGCAGGATACTGTGTGTGCCATCCTGCAGTAGCAAAAGTGTGCTGTTGAAAGGCCTTAAAGTGGTCAAAAGCGGTGTGCAATGGCTGGGCTGGGGACAGGGCAGCCCCTCAGGCAGAGTGGGGGCCAGGTGGGCTGGCTGTGTGGCTTGTTGCTTAAACAGTCTTGAGCATATCAGCCAGCCCCATACTAGCCTCTAAATAGTGACTGACCCCTCCTTCCTCTATGAAAGTCCTGTCTTCTGTGAATGTATGTCGCTCGGAACAAGACAATAGAACCACTTCTGCCATGTCCTATTTCATACCAACAGCGTTAGGTGGCAATCCAAAATACGAATACAATTAAGTTTTTCAAAAAAATCATGAAACTCATTATATAAGAGTATGTAATATTCAGTGAGGAAGTTTCTTCCAAGATAACTTCAAAATGCTTAGTAAAGCTGCCCAGGGGAGGGCCTATAGCTCAGTGGTAGAGTGCAGGCTTAGCATGCA